ATTCCTCTATTTATATACTTTCCTATTCTGTTGTCAATTTGTGTATTCATTCATTTATTTGCAAAACTGGCTGTTGAATTTTCACCTATTGGATAATGTACAAATCAACTTCACAATATTATTTTTCTTGACTTTAATGGCGTATGATTGAATCTATTGCATCGTAATGATCGGGGTCCTCAGCTGCACTTCACTCGTCACCACCAGGTGAAGACGAGTTTGTAGAAGTAGTCGTAGCTCTTGGACAGGAAGCTCTTCTCCATGACGTGAGGCTGGATGCTCACCTTGTAGCCCTGACTGCTGATGTCCATCTTTACACAGTCCAGCAAGTCTTTAACGGAGAGAGTCGCCTTCCAGGGCCCGAACGTCACCACCGACTCCTTATCCGCCTCCAGGCTGTTGATGGCCTCTTCATAGCAGCCCAGGTCCTCCTCCGTCCTCAGCACGCAGATCATGATGGTGGAGCAGCGAGCGGCGATGGCCTCGGCTCTGGCGATTCGTATCAGCACCTGGAAGAAAAATGTGGAAATCGATATCAGACAGTTCAGGATTCCCACAAAACTGAACGGGTCGTTCTTCGGATCAAAATGTCCTGAACATCAGTTTTCCAGCAGCAGAGCCGGAGACTCAGCGGAGTCACAAGTCACCTCGATGTTTTCTCTGTAGTGTGGGACTCTGGAGAGGAACTGCTGTCGTCCCACCTGCTCTCCAAACATCTGGGGAGTTTCCTCCAGCAGCTTGATGAGTGGTTTGATGCTGTAGTGCACTGCCTCCCTGTGAACCTGCACACACACACACACACACACACTCTGGAACACTCCAACAACACATTTCATTGATGAATTCTCTAAATGAACCACCGGACTCGAACCTCCTGGATGTKCTCGGTGGGCAGCCGCTCTGACCGCAGGAACTCCAGCACAGCTCCAAAGTGAGAGCCGTCCCGGTCGATGAAGAAGCGTCCCTGCGCGTCCGTGCGTAGTTTGGGTTGTCCGCTGAACATCTCGGCCAGTCTGGAGCCGGGGTGTTTCCTCAGCGTGTTCAGAGACGTGCTGAACAGCTGACCGCCCACGTTCAGCTGCACAACAGGGGAGAGCTGAGGGGACACCACCGTCAACTCAATCACACTGGCACACAAACATCTGGCACACAAACATCTGTCACACACACATCTGGCACACAAACATCTGTCACACACACATCTGGCACACA